CCTACACATTATACAACCAATGCACAAAGGTAGTACCTACACATTTTCTCTACTGTGTCATAACAGCACTGGGTATTCTCCAAAGTTTAACAGCAAATCAGGATCAAGCTGTTCAAAGACTGAGAGCTTTACGAGTCATTAATGAAAACTTTCAAAATCCATTTTGCAAAATATCTAAATTTTTACATTATATTTTGCATTATATTTTGTCTTAACAAGATAACTTTTAATCCCTGTACATTTAATTTTAGTTTGGAATTTCAAAATTTTGAGCATCTGTTACTAAAGATTTGGATTAAAAGATATCGTTAGGCTAACCATGCTTGAATAGCTTGCCCCAGGTCACATTTACAACCTTACATTTATTGTTTAATTCTGACTTTCAAATTGTCAGTCGTGTTTAGTAAAACATGGACAAAGGCAACCCCATTAACTCCATTGCATTGCATGACCACACATAAAACTGTATCAATCGAATGCATTTATCTGTAAGTAGAATAGACTTTGAAGCATGGTTAGCTTTTCAAAGTGAGATAAAAAAAAAATAGATAAAAGAAGACAACAGCTGGAACTGAGTACATTGTGAACTGCTGAACCAAAGTAAAGACAATAACGGGGACCAAAGAGAAACTAAATGAAAACAAAACACTGTGATGACCCCACTGCCCTCCTCCCCTATACACATACAATTTTGTTATAACACTAAGGAATAAGGGAAGATTTAGCATTACGATATAGGCCAAAAATGATGTTTCTTGTCTCCTAACTGATCCTTCATTTGTTTGCCTACTATCCTTGGCATTTTTGCCAATTTTCGAAAAGCAAGTACAATAAATGTTAGGGAATCACAGCTCTATTTTATTTAAGTAAAAGAGAAAAATTAAAGTTTAACAATGCTACCAACCCTATTTATTTGGATATTCAACGCGAAACGAACAATTATTTTTGACTTTATTACGGTATTACCTTGCTTTATAAAGGAACTGGGATATTATCTACATGTTAGTCCTAAGTGCCCAAGGTCAGGTTACATTCTTATCTGTCTACTACATTGTATTATAGTAAACAATTGCTTTATCAATAGAAACAGTGTCAAAGTTGTATCAATGATCCACCACATAAATTGTATACATGTACACGTGTATACACACCTTAGTACAGACATCAGTATTAGTACTACAATGAAGAAATATATATCTTTTTTAGTTTTTAGGAATATTAAATTTACTCTAAAATATTACATAAAATTATTAAATCAGACAAAATAATTCTAATTACCCCTTAGTATAGATGTTGCAATAAATAAATTACATGTCTTTCTATGAATATCAAATTTAAATTAAAATCTTGAATGAAATCATAAAATCGGACAAAATCTGGTTTTGGTATTGAGTCAACGTTAGGTCTGTACTCCATAGTGGTTTTTTTGTACATTAAATTGTCTGTATATTTTAATTTATCCTGCTAGTAAAAAGGATTAAGAGTTCATTTGTAAAAAATTAAATGCGCCTCATCGCATAATTTACACATCGGTTAGGTGTAACCAATGTATATATATGTCTTTTTAATAATCATTTATATTCAAGTCAGACATCTTATCATTATGTAACTCTGGCATGTTAATATCCGAAACATTTAACAGCATTCATAAATTTAAATTAAGTTACCATAATAATTTTGGCATTATTCAACAAAATTTAATATGAACAATGGTTTAATATTTTCAACTAATTTATAAATGGTAACAAATTAAAACCATCAAAACTACGACTCGCCATAATTTTATCTAAATACTACAAAGTTTAAAAAATAAATAAATATTCACTTGTTGTAGATCAAGTGTTGATTCAGAGGCTGTCATAAGTTTTTTTCTTTAAATAAATATATACCATACCAAGGTATACTTTTTGTAATATCTTTTCTTTGGGGAATGCCCTTGAACTAAGATCTAGACACTTTTAACTATAAGTTGCAAATCTGTCATCGTTTTTCAAGTATACCTGACTTTCCTACTTCTAGACTAGAACACTGCCAACGGCAACATTAAGCGCATTTTCTAATCTAAATTACACCAATTAAAGACAAGGAAACAAGTTAACAAAGTTTCATTAAAAAAAAAAAAAAATAACAAAATCACAAAATGATTATTTTCACAAAAATCACTTTTTTTATTTTTTTTATTTATCAATGCAAATGTAACAATATTTGAAACAATTTTGTTTTCAACCAAAGAAACATGACAAGAAAACATGAATTCATTTTCAACAATTAAAGAAAAGGTACCAGACCGTAACGGTTTCATTTTTAATAGACAAAAAAATAATGAAATTATTTCTTTTTTACAATTAAAGATAAAGTAACAAGTTAAAACAAATTTGTTTTTAATCAATGATTGAAGTACCAACGCTGAAGTGAACCAATGTTGATTTCAACCAATCAAAGACAAGGAAACAATTTGAAACCTTTCAAAGAAAATAACTCTAAGGATTAAGTCTGTTGCAATTTGAAGGTGTTAATCAATACTGCCATACTGTATATCTTCTGATGTTGGATATATCAAAGCTGAGTATCACAGGAAATATTTTCAGACAAATAATCCCAGGACCAGATCCAAACCATAGCATTAAGGATCAATTTTTCCTGAGGAGCTACTTTAGATGTCACGAGCCAATCATATTTACTCCAGACTTTCACATGATTAAGTCTCCAGGTTTAAAACCGTTCCTTTGAGCTGACATTGATTATTACATTATACCTAAATCAATATTACCAGCTATGTCTCTAAAGCTAATGTTTGTATTATACAGCTGAATTGGTCTAATATCTATTATTTTATTCACAGGAAAAGACTCCAGCTCAGGAACACTGACTGCATTTAAGAGATTTATAGATAAATTTATGTGAAACTGGTGAAAAAAAATCTGTCTATAAATGATGAACTGCCTTCTTTGTTTCAGCAATACATGTATTATTAAGTTTTTAGAAAGTAAAAAAAAAAGATTTTCTCTTCATCCATGATTTGATTAGAGGGAACTAATCAGTAGAATTGGATATATATGGCAATTTTCCACACACAATTAATGGTAGTACATCGTATATATTATATTGGCCATATAATAAGATATAATTTGTGAGTGACTCTCAACTATTCAAGATAGCCATAAGAATCATAAATCTTCAGAAAAATATATAGTAATACTGAGATTTTGTTTGTATGGTTGTTTGGGAAGGGGGGGGGGGGGATTTGTGAGGGGTTTGGTGGTGATAAACATGTAAAAACTCCACTGCCCATCCCTCCAATTTTGTCCCTGCATCTTCAATAAAAAATATATTTAAAACTAGTTAATCCATTGAATGACATGTGCAGTACATATTCTGTATGGTATCTTAACTAACCAGGTAAGAACATGCTGTCTTGGTAAAGGTGAGTCACAGCAGGTGCAGATTAAAGTTGTTCTACAAACCTCAAGAGTGACATGTTTACAATTAATATTTGTACAGTAAAACAGCAAGTCAGGACTTGGGACTGACTCATCCATTTAATATAAAAAAGTGTTTTCTGACCTATTCCAAAAGCAGTACATCTTATAGGATTTTTACAATGTAATAACATTCAGGTGTTAAACATACTAAATATTAATAGTGTGAAACTATCCAGGGAAAGTGCAATGGGGCCAGACTATATATATATTACATTCAAACCCTACCTATACCTCTGTCCAATTTCATGACACCATTTTAGCCAGCCAGCCCCAGTCAAATCCCATTACACTAGTATAGGCCTAGTAATTTTCTAAATGCATATTTATTACAAAACTAATCCAAAAAGGTCAGGGAAATATTGGCTATGAAAAGAAATGACAAAATATTTTTAATTAAATTACAAATAAAGTTAATTAAAAATGACTAAAAAAATAAAACAGAAATATAATAATATATGCTTACAAGTTTACTTTAAAGCTCACGTGCATCAATGCGCGTTAAACATTATCAAATCATACCATGCACAAACAATTATGGGGTTACAATTCAATACACAGTAACGATAGATATATTTTATAACTGTTACTGTTTATAGCCATTGAAATTCGCTTGCCAACATAATCCGATATCCATTATAAATTGATCCAGAGATAGGCCTAGTGCATGCCATACAAAACAGGTCTCTGCCGGTTAACGATCTGACAAACTTAAAGCTTGCATTGCAAAGGAAAAAAATCGTCTGTACCGAATTACTGCCGAGTATTCATGGTAACGTCTAATGAGATCGGTGCTCCAAGCCATGTCACTCACTTACCTCCTTATTTCTCCCCTCCGAAAAGTTTGGGACACATTCTATCACCCTCGGCATGATTATTTAGTATTTCCAAACTATCTTCTACAAAAATGGTAAATTGTTACGTTTCATGCCCTGTGTCTGCGTACCGGACTATAGAAAGCTATCTGTCAGGTATAAAGTAGCTCTCCGATTCAGCTGCGTAGTACGTCACCATGCTTTGAGTCTCTTCCAAGGCAATTTTGATGACGTATTAATTCTTGTTGCAACGTTTTGCACAGGGTACCATCTTCGATGGCAGCGGATCTGTAGCAAAATATCAATATTTGACAAACTGAAGTCCACTCAACTGTTTGATCGTTTAAATAACAAAATATTTGGTAAGTTGAGTTGTTAGCTATTATATATACACGTAGGGCATATGCGTGGATTATGAATATTAACCAGAAAGTATTGGCTACCGGTTGGCCCAGATTTTACAGTGTCCCATATCAAGTTGTGCCGTCGTGCATATGCAGGAAGCATTTTACACGCGCGGGTAAGACAGGTTGATTTTAAGACCGATCATCACCTAACATAATCGATTTTTGTGACATACGAAAAACCGCTGTATATCTCATATCATTATACATGCACCTTCACGTGTGGAAAGGGACATGTATTTATTGACCCATATTTTCCGTGCAAGCGTCACTGAAAGGATTGTTTACATGTCAAGTTGTGGTCCTACTAGCTATTATAGCCGCTATTGATAGCAATGGTTACAAAAGACGGTTGGCAATATTAAAGAATTATAGCATTCATAAGGGTTAACGTAAATGTGGTTTTGTACTGGTGCGGAGTTAAATCTGTATTGACAGTGAAATTAGAGGTGACATGGCTTTTCCATTGGAATCCTAAGTAAATGTCTAAATACCTAATTATCTAAATAGATAATTAGGTATTTAGACATTTAATTATCTATTTAGAAATAATTACATGGCAACGAAATTTTATCAACTGCAAATGTTAAATATAGGGCAAATATGTAGGGTGTAGTGATCAGATGTTATGATTTAATAATTAGCTGTAATAAATATAGTAAATATGTTTTGCCATTTAGGTTTCACTGATATGTGGTTTGTAAAAACTTCTGCATTTACTGCTGGCATGACTATAAATCCAGCAAAGAAGAGAAAAAAACAGGAAAGATTAAACTTCATAGAAGTAATGAAGATTTTACAATGGCTGGAGCTGTATCCCTCCAAGATCACTTGTACTGATCAAAATCATCCAAATTAAGATAACATTCTTTCCTGATGTCTGAGACATCTGTTTTATCCGATATATAAAGCAATACTAAATGTGTATATATCTTGATTTTGTTTTACCTTATGATCAGTGCAAACAAGATTCCTGAAATAGACTAACGTCACCAAAGTGTTTGCTTCTAACTGTTGTCTCATGTAAGGCAGGAGAAGAAGCTTTAAAACGACATTGATCAAATTATGTTCATATCCCTCTGAATGCAGTCTATTCAAGTATTATTTATAGAAGAACTTTCAATGATAATGTAAATATATTCACATATTTACAGTGTATATTCGCATATTTACAGTGCAGGTGAACACATGCTCTACGGGTATATGCGCATGGGTGGATATATGAAATGATAACTTAATATAGAGGTATATCTGCTTCATCATTACATGTTGCAATTAATACATGTATGATACTACTTTTCTATGTATGCTGTCCTTTATATTTAATGTGTCTGTTAAAATTTCTGCAAAAAGGATGCTTAGTATTCTAGGTTACTGTTCAATTTGCTTCCCATAAACTAATAAAAATACAATGGTAGACAAAATCATTTGATAGGATTAAGAGGGTTTTAGTGGACGCAGGCATTGCTGCCTCTAGATCCACATCAATATAACTGTAATACAATGTGGTAAGCATGAAGTAAGTCTGTATATTATATAAGACGCTGTATGATCATACTTCAACTCGAGAGTTTTTCTCGAAGTCAAATACGTTACAAGACGAAATAACATCTTGTGGGATACTATTCCAGATATCAATTTTTCTTTGAGTAAAGTAATGTTTTCTAATATTTATATAATTTTAAATGGCCATGTTGTTTGAGTGTTTTTTTACTGTGTCCACAAGTTTTTCCCTGAGTTGCAAGATCGAACAATCCCCCCACCAAAGTCGGATCATATAGCCCATTCATAAACTTGAACACGATCATATCTCCGTGCAAGCTCCTGTATGTTAAGAGTTGGAAGCTTCAATCGGCGTAGTCTCTTTCTGTAGCTATATATATAGCTGATAGTCTTAAATCCGGGGAGTAATTTTGTAGATTGATGTCCTTAATATGTGTGGACTCCAAACACTTGCAGCATACTCTAAATGAGGTCAAACCAGCACACTTTAAAAAGATTTGTGAACATTTTTTCGTCCAAATATATATACAAATGATCCCCTTATATAATTATGACACCTACGATGCATGTGTTGTAAAACTCTCAAGTCTTGGTCTACTACAACCCCTAAATCTTTCATCGATGCAACTTAATCCAATGCTATAATTTCTCCTCCCTTGTTCGATTTGATATCATGGTTCTATCTCATCATGTCAGGGAATGAAGTTCTTAAAACCGTTTATCATTGCGAATTGTATGAGGTCAGAAAACCTAAACCTGTAACCTTTATGTAAAAGAATCTTCAAGAAAGCTGAAATAGGAGGTTAAGTTGGTACATGTACCTAAATTATGACTAAAGGGAGATAATTTGACATTTCAATATATATTTGTCACGCTGCCACAAAGTAGCGGAAGTGAGACTATAAGGTGTTGCTTTTCCGGCGGTGGCGTCAGTATCAAGTTTTTGTGCTTAAGTTAGTTTCACTAGTTTCCCATGGATCAAATGCTGGATGCAGCCTATATATAAAGCTATCTTTCATGGTTCATTGACTTTGTCAGCATCTCCATCAACATTAAGTTTTCGCTGAAACTATAAGTGCTACACCAACCAAACTTGACATGTGCATTGATGGTCTAAGCAGGGCACAGGCGAGACATAAAAATCCGAATGGCTTGATAATTTGAATATACAGGAGATACAGATAGGTATTTACGGTTATATTTTATGTATCATTTTGTGCATAAATCATTAATAAAGGAGGTATTTTTCATAGTTGACTGAATTTCAAACACATTAGCATATCATTAGCATATATTCCTGCGTATGAATATAGTATTATACTGTCATCTCTCGATCGGATATCAGTGTTGCAACTGAGCAACATTAGAATATTAATGTGTATGTAATTTGCATAAAAAAGGTTTAAAATATTGAATGTTTATAATAAACTGATCAATTCGAAAAAAAATGCCCCACTGAAACAATTTTATTGACACTTTCTATATTTTAAATTATTTTATTTTTAACATTTCATAAACATAAAAAATGTGGAAAAAATATATATGCATCTTAATCCCATTAAATGAATATAACTTTCAGTTCATGGTCAGCTTTACTTTTTCTTTGTGATGCTTACTGCATGATGAGACATAAATGTATATGGTTTTGTTATAATTAGTGATCTGAGTTTATTACAATAAGTTTTTGGAGGATATTTTAGGAATTGTCGCATGGTGTTCTTGAGTTAGGAAAAACTGGATGTCTATTGAGTAGGATTGGGTATCACATGTAACATCTATTGATTTGAGCCTAGATATATTCAATGTTATTACATGTAACAATTTTGCTTCAGGTTGAAACTTATTTAATCATGGTACGGCCTACGAAGAGACGATATACCAATGTATTACACGCCAAACATCTGCTGGACGCTGTCAACTTCGTCCGCCAACAGAAGCAAATCCCTAACATTGAGCGTGTCGCACGCTACATGAAGCGCATGCACAACCATACACAGTATGAGACGGAGAAACAAATGCAATATGCAGTCAAGGACAGTTTGATTTTGTCGTATCAGACCGTCGGGAAGAAAGGCAACATGACCGGAGTGGAACAGGAGGGATTCAGAATACCCGAGGAGGAAGACTTTGCTGAACAGGTGTGATCATTTACAACATAACATCCATACTTATGATAGATCTCTTCATTTTAGATCTACTGAATACAAGATGGCGTTTTTTAATTGGAAAATTTTGAAGAGATTTGGGGAAAATTTATCAGGTAGTGCTATTTTGTAATGGCCCCCAATGAAAAGCCAAGATTATTGGCAATTGTAATTGAATTTATAAATTCTTTCAAAATTAATTTGTGATGTTCCAATACACTGTTACATTGTATTAATTTGATATGATTTAAAATCTGATAATTTTAAAGATTCTTTCTGGGCTAGGCTTTGTTTCATCTAGTACAACCCTCACAAACTAAATCGATGTCGTATCCAGTCAATACAAACACCATATCACTATCTCAATCCGTTAAAAGTTTTCAGTGGAGAACACAAAATTTGTCGCAGTGATGTGAATGCTTAACCTCTTCATCAGACAGACGACCATGACTGGTACTGTTTTGAATGTCACACTGTGGGAGACATGTTGCCGTGTTCCGACTGTTGGCGAGTATTTCACCCCAGTTGTACAGAAGAGGAGTGGACTGGACCAAAGTTCACCTGCTCCATCTGTAAAGTAAGTATGGGGTCCGAGGTTGTGATTTCTGTACAGAAATATCAAACTGAACCAGAATCTTGTTTGTCATAATCAGTTTTCATCTTTGTGACATCTACCTCTGGTTTTGTTAATTTCTGTGTCCTGATGTTTTCAAAAAGAAGATTTCACTTTTCTACACCTTTGTTGATTTTACTGTTTAGTGTATTGTGTATAAAACCAAACACTATATGGTTATATTATTATCAGTGCTTTTTTTTCTGCTCTTTGTAAATGGGTTCAGATCTAGACAAAAAACTCATTCTAAATGCAAAAATGGGCATTCCCATAATGGACTGGCACTCTTAATTACCAATCAGGTTTTTTTGTTTTTTGTTTTTTATTAGCTCACCTGGCACGAAGTGCCAAGTGAGCTTATGCCGTGGCGCTGCGTCCGTCCGTCGTCCGTCCGTCCGTCCGTCCTTGTCCGTCAACTTTTCCTTTAAACAACTTCTTCTGAAGAACGGACAGGCCAAGAGTCATGATATTTGTCTGAGAGCTTCGTTGGTAGGAGCCCTACAAAGTTTATGAACGAAAATGACCTTGACCTGTTTTCAAGGTCACAGGGGTCAAATATGTCAAAAACTTCAAACGACTTCTTCTAAAGAACTAAAAGGTATAGAATCTTCATATTTTGCTGATGGCTTCCTGGGATAGAGCCCAACAAAGTTTGAGAATGAAAATGACCTTGACCTACTTTCAAGGTCACAGGGGTCAAATGTGTCAAACACTTCAAACGACTTCTTCTGAAGAACTGAAAGGTATAGAATCTTTATATTTGGCTGGTGGCTTCCTGGGATAGAGACCAACAAAGTTTGAGAATGAAAATTAGTTTGACCTACTTTCAAGGTCACAGGGGTCAAATATGTCAAAAACTTCAAACGACTTCTTCTGAAGAATTAAAAGGTATAGAATCTTCATATTTGGCTGATGGCTTCCTTGGATGGAGCCCAACAAAGTTTGAGAATGAAAATTACCTTGACCTTCTTTCAAGGTCACAGGGGTCAAATGTGTCAAACACTTCAAACGACTTCTTCTGAAGAACTGAAAGGTATATAATCTTTATATTTGGCTGGTGGCTTCCTGGGATAGAGCCCAACAAAGTTTGAGAATGAAAACTAGTTTGACCTACTTTCAAGGTCACAGGGGTCATATATGTCAAAAGCTTCAAATGACTTCTTCTGAAGAACTGAAAGGTATAGAATCTTTATTTTTGATTGATGGCTTCCTTGGATAGAGCCCGACAAAGTTTGAGAATGAAAATGACCTTGACCTTCTTTCAAGGTCACAGGAGTCAAATGTGTCAGACACTTCAAACGACTTCTTCTGAAGAACTGAAAGGTATATAATCTCTATATTTGGCTTGTAGCTTCCTAGGAAAGAGCCGAACAAAGTTTGAGAATGAAAATGACCTTGACCTTCTTTTAAGGTCACATGAGGCAGATATGTCAAACACTTTAAACGACTTCTTCTGAAGAACTGGTAGTTATAAAATCTTAATATTTGGCAGGTGGCTTCCTGGGAAAGAGCCAAACAAAGTTTGCGAATGAAAATGACCTTGACCTACTTTCAAGGTCACAGCGTTCAAATATGTCAAACAGTTCAAACAGCTTCTTCTGAAGAATTAAAAGGCATAAAATTATAATATTTGGCTGGTGACTTCCCGGGATAGAGCTCACCAAAGTTTGCAAATGAAAATGACCTCAACCTACTTTAGAGGTCACAGAGGTCAACAACATTTTAATGGATTTGTTCTTGAGAACTAAAAGGAATGGATTCATAAGATTTGGCTGGTAGCTTTTTGGAATAGAGCTAACCAATTTGAGAAGGAAAATGACATTGACCTACTTACAAGATCACAGGGAAAAATATGTCAAGCAACTTCTGAAGAAGAATCTAAAAGCATAGAATCTTATAATGATATTTTGCTGGTAGTTTCAACAGATGGAGCCAACAAAGTTTGCGAGGGAAATATTTTTAGTGCAATATAATATTTAATGAGAATATTTTGCTATGACTGCTTAAATATTCAGGTGAACGATACAGGCCCTCTTGGGCCTCTTGTTTTTTTTATCAAATTCCACTCCTAAAATCACTCATGCCAAAACTGAGATTGCTGTGCTCTTATATCAGAGTTCATTCTAAGTTGTTTTTCTGAAAAGGGGAATAAGTTCGACATAAGGAAAAAATCCTGAAATATTTCAATGAAATATCTTCAATTAAAAACAAAAGCAACTTCAAATCAAATTTAACGATAAAATTGGTGAAATTATTGGTAAACTCAGTTTCTACTTCTGAATCATTTTCTCACCTATCGTATATTGACGTCTCCTTTGTTGTACTTTCTGGGGTCACCTACTGGGTACGGGTAGAACTGTACTGATGGTTAGGTACATCAAAGAATCTAGCTCAATCATTGGATAACATTTGGGTACTGCCGTTGATCTAGTCATTCTTTTTGATAACTGTATACAGCTGTTTGTGCAATAAAAAGCTTGACTACATGTTGATAAACAGGGTTACCAGTGACGCTTCAGAAAAAGGTTGAGAAATTCTGCCATAAGAAGGCCATAGTATTTTTGAAATATCATTGGGGAAAACATTCTATTTTTTACGGTTATTACAATTCTACCTGATTACTCTTGCCGTGTCATTCTATGAAAATTTGAATACTACATATGCCCGCCACCCCTACTGGGCTTTTTGCAGGATAAATGAAGTGAATTGCATGCAGCTCTTTATAGAGAAAAAAGTGTGTGTACATGAAATTACTTGAAATGTGACATTATGTTGAATTAATTTAAGATATAAGGAAGAGAAAAAAGGTCCAAACTTTATCTAATTTGACAAACTTTTCCTGGAGAGACTCAGCAAAAAGTACTAAGTCAATGTAATGAAATTCTGCTGAATATTCATATTCATTGATGAACAATAATGAATATTCATTTCAGCAATGATAAATATTCATTGATAAGTGCTGAGTATTCATGATACAGCAATGCTGAATATTCATAGAGCACTTCAGAATATTCATCAAGCAATCACCAAACAAAAATAATTCCATGAAACAAGTAGTCTAGACCGTAATGTAAGACCTATATAGCCTCTTTATATACCCTCACTTATAACTCTGTGTGTCTCTTTCATTTGCAGTCAAACTTACAGGTTAGCTGATTTTCTACTTTCATTCTTGACTTGATTATTGTGTTAGTTGTTAACGGTACTCCAAAAATACAAGTTAATGCATGGACAAAGATCATTTTATAGTTATATATGCAAATTTATTCATTTCAAATTTCACAGAAAAAATACCCATTTAAACATATTTGCTTGGAAATGTTATCAAAAGAGGAAACAAAGAAAATTGTACCTGCTTTTATCACTTGCATATATACCTACTACTAACTATTTGATACTTGTATGGAGAAACCATACTATGCTGTATAGTTGTTTAATTTCATGTTTCCAGTGTTCACTGCTTCTGTCACAGCCCTTTATAGGGAACTAGGGTATTTTTTGTGTGTATATTTGAGTCTGAAGTAAGGTCCCATTTAACCCAGTCAATGAAATTAGACATTTTTCTCCCCAAGGGTTCTATCTGTGCTTTTTCAAAAGGAAAATAAAAGGGGAGGGGGGAATCAAAGGGGGAAATTGTGTTGTATTAGGTAGTATAAGAATTTTCTCTGCCTGATTATTAAGATGAAAAGGGAAGGAGGTGGAGAAATAATTAATTGGCCCTTGAAATACAACAACTAAACAGTCTGCAAAACTCTGATACAAGGAAAAGTATGTATTACGTATTACGTGTTGATGAACTAGTTTGAAGTGATATGACAGAGACCCACATTTTGACATGCCTACAGTGTATGTTCAATTCCTCTTTCTTTGTGCATGCTATAACCTTCATTTTTGAAATAAGACTGATTTTAAAAGTAGTGAAAGCAGTTAAATCATGTTGAATCAACTTTTATTACCAGTAAACATTTATATCTGTGGTGGTAATGTTGAATTGTCAAGTAGTGAAAAATGTATTCACAATTGAATTCAGTCAATTTTGTTCTGTTTTCATGATGAATCTGGAAAAGCATGAAACTTCTCATTATGAATTGATGTTGAACTGTTCAGTTATTTAAAAAAAATGAAGCTTTATGATTCATTCAGGTTTGAAAATAATACATAATATGAAAATCTTATCATGTTGAATTGTATTTAAAAGTTATGAAAACAAGTTAAATAACAATGTTTTATCTTTGAGTAGTTAAAACCTGTTAAACCGGTACTATCAAGTGAAAATGTATTATTGCTGTTGTTCATCATTATTTAAAGTTTGTTTCTTCAAGTCAATATAAATCATAGTTCTGATGCATTTTACATAGTTACAGTTGTTCACAATTTGAATTAAGGAAAATAGAAATGGCAAGAAGCGAAAAGCAAAAACTGCAGGACAGTTACACTGCAAATCCTACACTTTACCAATGCTGCTAAATAGACATTTTAAGTACATAGCATCAAAATGAGAGCCAAACTTATTGGCCACAAGGCCTATTTGAAAAATCATTGATAGAGGAATACCTTGCCAGGGGCCAGGGACAAACGGTTTGTCTGTTTAAAAATGTAACATTTTGGGTATAAATCCTGGTGGATCTGCAAATGATTATGCAGGCCTGGCAAGGCTTTGTCAAGGCTTTGTCAAGGCTTTGCAAAGGTTCACCTGAAAGCAGCATCCGATAACTAGGTCCGACCTTATTTCAGAAATACTAAAACCACTCTGGTTCAGCCGGTTCGCAATAAACGAAAATGGCCCAGGTGCAGTAACTCTAAGCCAGAGCTATATTATTAAATATATATGGAAGAATACTTTAACTTAAAACACAGCTGTTCCTGAGCGATACAAACAATAAGTTAAACTTCAATTACCATTGGTCATTCAAATTAAAGTCACACTTTATACAAGGCTTTCTAATCCAAAGTGCTGTGATGCTTAGGAACGCTTTACTGGTCAAAAGGTCAAAGGTCATGGTCACTTGTTATGAATAAAAAAAATCAATAAATTACTCTTAAAGGAGTTATTTTACCCAGTACACTATATGGACGTTAGTTTTAATTTAGGACATTTTTAGGAAAAGTGTAACTTTGTAAATTTAAATAATATTATCATGACAGATGCAGTGCTTGTTATTCATAAAAAATATTATTCGGATGCTAATCCTTAGTGGAATCTTTAAACTTGGAGATTTGAAACGGACTCATTCAAGGGACATTTTACTCTGAAAAAAGTGTTAAAAGTTTGTAATCACCAACATTTCAATATTGTAATAAGTAGCCATTTTATATTTGGTATATAAGTCGTAATTGTGTTTCAATATTACCTATATAACATGTTGTTGTAATATGTTTTTCCCTTCATTTCGCATGATGAAAAGGAGATAGAGGTAATATCATTTTCTATCTCTATGGTATTTGCATTTTTGTGGGTTATTTTCCCCATTTAATGAAACGTACATTTATTTCCCATTTATTTTCCTGTATATGGATTCTGATATAAATGTGTCAGTGTTACTTGGCAGAAGTTTCATCAATATCTTGTTTTTGTCACTGATGCTAACGTGTTCACTGGAATTGATCTCTAATTATTTTGAAAGTGACGAACATATTGAGTTGTTGAACACTCTTTAAAAAAAAAAATCTATTGTACCTAAGGTACAAGAAAATTTTGATTATGAAATTTTATTTTTATTTTTTTTATTTATTTTTTGTTTGTGTTTATTTTTGTTTTAATTTCATGGCCACAAAATTTAATAAGATGTACCAACAGAACTATTATGATATAGTGGACCCAACAGTCACCATATTTCTTTAAAGTTTACGTTATAACATATGCAAAAATGCCCGACTCAAGCCTTGCATTGATGTGGAATGAATATAATGTTAAAACTGTTGGTTATTATATTATGAACAAATATTTGATTTGTCAGTGGAACTTTGTGAAGTTTTGAAGGTCTTGCGTTGCCAGATGACACTGACACAGGGTCAGGTTTTAGTATAGAGAGGACAAGCTCCTAGATACAGACTTTATACATAGCTGCTTCTGGCTGTACCATCATCTAAAGCACTGCCAAATAATACCACGGTGGACTGTACACGGTGTCAGTGTTGTCTTCCTCACATCTCTGATAATCTCATCCTCATTTCTCACCATTTCATCTTATATGAGGTCATCTCATCATCTTGTCATTCATCATCATCATTCTTCATCGCCTATTCATGATTTCATCTTCATAGTAGTCCTGTAGCCCTCACTCGTCATCCTCTGATCTGCTATCTCAACCCGACCCTTATGTGTCATGTTATCCTTACATTATTTTGTGATTTATGTGGCGAAAGGGGTAAGAATGTTTAGTGATAGGAAAATTTTGAACAAAAAATGTATCATAGCTGAAACCAGTATTGGGTTATGCCTTAAATATGCAGTAAAAATAAATGACAACAGCTTAGCTGACTTCTACAATTCCTAGCTGTAAAAGCCACATCTACATTTATATAGTTGTCTACTCACTAGTGGCTAGGGGGCGCTCCTAGACAGTATCAGCTACATTTATTTAGTTGTCTACGCACTACTGGCTAGGGGGCGCTCCTAGACAGTATCAGCTACATTTATATAGTTTCTACTCACGAGTGGCTAGGGGGCGCTCCTAGACAGTATCAGCTACATTTATATAGTTGTCTACTCACTCTCCTAGACAGTATCAGCTACATTTATATAGTTGTCTACTCACTAGTGGCTTGGGGGGACTCCTAGACAGTATCAGCTACATTTATATAGTTTCTACTCACGAGTGGCTAGGGGGCGCTCCTAGACAGTATCAGCTACCTTTATATAGTTGTCTACTCACTACTGGCTAGGGGGCGCTCCTAGACAGTATCAGCTGCATTAATATAGTTGTCTACTCACTAGTGGCTAGGGGGCGCTCCTAGACAGTATCGGCTACATTTATATAGTTTCTACTCACGAGTGGCTAGGGGTCGCTCCTAGACAGTATCAGCTACATTTATATAGTCGGCTACTCACTACTGGCTAGGGGGCACTCCTAGACACTATCAGCAACATTTATATAGTTGTCTACTCACTACTGGCTAGGGGGCACTCTTAGACACTATCAGCTACATTTATATAGTTGTCTACTCACTCTCCTAGACAGTATCAGCTACATTTATATAGTCGGCTACTCACTACTGGCTAGGGGGCACTCCTAGACACTATCAGCAACATTTCTATAGTTGTCTACTCACTAGTGGCTTGGGGGCACTCCTAGACACTATCAGCAACATTTATATAGTTGTCTACTCACTAGTGGCTTTGGGGGACTCCTAGACAGTATCAGCTACATTTATATAGTTGTCTCCTCACTACTGGCTAGGGGGCGCTCCTAGACAGTATCAGCTAGATTTATATAGTTGTCTACTCACTACTGGCTAGGGGGCGCTCCTAGACGGTATCAGCTACATTTATATAGTTTCTACTCACGAGTGGCTAGGGGGCGCTCCTAGACAGTATCATCTACATTTATATAGTTGTCTACTCACTAGTGGCTTGGGGGCACTCCTAGACACTATCAGCAACATTTATATAGTTGTCTACTCACTAGTGGCTTGGGGGCACTCCTAGAAAGTATCAGCTACATTTATATAGTTGTCTACTCACTCTCCTAGACAGTATCAGCTACATTTATATAGTCGTCTACTCACTACTGGCTAGGGGGCGCTCCTAGACAGTATCAGCTGCATTAATATAGTTGTCTACTCACTAGTGGCTAGGGGGCGCTCCTAGACAGGATCAGCTACATTTATATAGTTGTCTACTCACTAGTGGGTAGGGGGCGCTCCTAGACAGTATCATCTACATTTATATAGTTGTCTACTCACTAGTGGCTTGGGTGCACTCCTAGACAGTATCAGCTACATTTATATAGGTGTCTACTCACTAGTGGCTAGGGGGCGCTCCTAGACAGTATCAGCTACATTTATATAGTCGTCTACTCACTACTGGCTAGGGGGCACTCCTAGACACTATCAGCAACATTTATATAGTTGTCTACTCACTAGTGGCTTGGGGGCGCTCCTAGACAGTATCAGCTACATTAATATAGTTGTCTACTCACTAGTGGCTAGGGGGGGCTCCTAGACAGTATCAGCTACATTTATATAGTTGTCTACTCACTACTTGCTAGGGGGCACTCTAAGACACTATCAGCTACATTTATATAGTTGTCTACTCACTAGTGGCTTGATATAGTTGTCTACTCACTAGTGGCTAGGGGGCCCTCCTAGACAGTATCAGCTTCATTTATATAGTTGTCTAATCACTAGTGGCTTGGGGGGAATCCTAGACAGTATCAGCCACATTTATATAGTTGTCTTCTCACTAGTGGCTTGGGGGACCTCCTAGACAGTATCAGCTAAATTTATATAGTTGTCTACGCACTAGTGGCTAAGGGGCCCTCCTAGACAGTATCAGCTACATTAATATAGTTGTCTACTCACTCTCCTAGACAGTATCAGCTACATTTATATAGTTGTCTACTCACTACTGGCTAGATGGCGCTCCTAGACAGTATCAGCTACATTTATATAGTTGTCTACTCACTAGTGGCTAGGGGGCACTCCTAGACACTTATCAGCTACATTTATATAGATGTCTACTCACTAGTGGCTAGGGGGCACTCCTAGACACTTATCAGCTACATTTATATGGTTGTCTACTCACTAGTGGCTAGGGGGCACTCCTAGACAGTATAAGCTACATTTATATAGTTGTCTACTCACTACTGGCTAGTGAGCGCTCCTAGACAGGATCAGCTACATTTATATAGTTGTCTACTCACTACTGGCTAGGGAGCGCTCCTAGACCGTATCAGCTACATTTATATAGTTGTCTACTCACTACTGGCTAGTGAGCGCTCCTAGACAGGATCAGCTACATTTATATAGTTGTCTACTCACTACTGGCTAGTGAGCGCTCCTAGACAGGATCAGCTACATTTATATAGTTGTCTACTCACTACTTGCTAGGGGGCACTCTAAGACACTATCAGCTACATTTATATAGTTGTCTACTCACTACTGGCTAGTGAGCGCTCCTAGACAGGATCAGCTACATTTATATAGTTGTCTACTCACTACTGGCTAGGGAGCGCTCCTAGACCGTATCAGCTACATTTATATAGTTGTCTACTCACTACTGGCTAGTGGGCGCTCCTAGACAGTATCAGCTACATTTATATAGTCGTCTACTCACTACTGGCTAGGGGGCACTCCTAGACAGTATCAGGTACATTTATATAGTTGTCTAATCACTAGTGGCTAGGGGGCACTCCTAGACAGTATAAGCTACATTTATATAGTTGTCTACTCACTACTGGCTAGTGAGCGCTCCTAGACAGGATCAGCTACATTTATATAGTTGTCTACTCACTAGGGGCTAGGGGGCACTCCTAGACAGTATCAGCTACATTTATATAGTTGTCCACTCACTTACCAGGCGACAACTGTTAAATGCAGTTAAAAGCTCTAATTATATGTGCAGAACATTCTAATACAAAAGTAAGAACTTCCCTTCCTATTCTGGATGTCTTCATTGTCTGCGAAACCCGTCAAAATGCGACCTGTATGAACCAAACGACAACAACAAGATGGCTGCTATCGTATCGGTGGGAGTGGTTGCTAACACTGACCTCACAGAAACCATGGTCATGTGACCAGATGATGCAGACTGCAGTTACTGTCCAGTAACTGCAGGCTGGCTGTCCATAGAGTTAATGGAAAATGGGAAGGGCATATGTAAATATATAGCTGTTCACTCACTTGTAGCTAGGGGACTATCTTATACAATTAAGCCTAATCATACTTTATAGATACCATAACTGTTTAATTGCATCAGAATTGGGTGGTAGATTTCATGGTGTACGTTCATGTGCCCCGCATGGTTTGGTGGAAGTCCTATACTATACCTGTGTTTGTACTCTAGATTGCTTATATTTCATGTAAGAATTGGTTTAGATGATTATGATTTGAAGTTCTGGTATCATGTGAACAATGTGAACAGTTATTTTACATGATTTAGAGATGTAAAGTTTCATATGTACAGTACTAGCCCGCTAGTTGATTATGAAAAGTTCTTCGGACTTAAAATTTTGTAATAAATTTGGAAAATTTCACTAGTCCCAACATTACTTCTGCTATCTCTGGGCTTCAGGCCAGTGGAATGGTTCACCCAACCAAAATGTATTTACAGAACATCACTTATTGAAAGTAATACAACTTTAACTCCTGGAATAAGTAAAAATAAAATGTTAGTTTTTGTAATTATTTGAGAAATATAAGTACATGTAATCCATTTATACGCAAACTTAATTTTATCTAATTTTCTACCTTTGAAGGGACTTGTGGATAAGGTTGTATATATAATAGGGATGATGTCATACAGACTGGATTATCAGTCTCCATAATTATCACTGAGGTACTTTTGCTCCTATATTTTTGACTTAAACAAGTCTATATGCTAGACTTGCTTAAGTCCATCGAATAGAAAATAATCATACTCATAGAGATTGAAAGCCATTCTAGAGGTCATTTGATAATAGAGATTAATAAAAACAATTTGGTTAGTTGAACATTAGATTGTATCAATATTTTTTAATTTTCGCTACAGAAGTTGAACTTGTACAGTTGAATTGAATTATTCCCCGAGAAATATTCCCCTAAAATGAAGAAAATTTGAGAAAATCATTGAAGAATTTAAACCCTTTCACCACTGTAGACCATAATACACTCATCCAGATCAATGCATGGTATAGTCTACCGAAGTTACATAGGGGTGAAATGGTTAAGAAGTTTATGAAGAATTGTTTATAAACACATCATAACACAAAAGATGAAATTTTGTTTTGGTTTTGGTCAATCTGAAACTATAGTTTTTGCCTTTGATTAGAATTAAGGGTTGACTTTATTGTAAATGGAACAACATATAAAGTGTATCGTGATGGATGCAAAGTGCTTTTTGGAAGCTAATTTCATATATATGTATTCTTGTAGTTTAGATTATTTGCTGCAAATGTCAGTGATGCTTAATGTGATTCTTAACATAAAATGCAAAAAAATATTATTATCTGAAAAAATATAAAAATTTGATTTGCTATCACATGACAACCATTCTTCTTGGGCTTAAGGTCCAGAGCTTGTGAGAAATATATAGTTTTTTCCCTTTTTTTTTGGTTTGATTTGATTGTTATAATTTGCAATTAACTTACTTATATATTGAATCAAAGTTGGCTGTTATGTTGTCTGTTGGTATTGTTGGGAGTTTTAAGCATGGAGTCGTAGTAATGTTTTAGAGGTTTAGGACTATGTAAATGAACTGCATAGATTTTAGATCGGAAGTGTTTGCATGTTTCATTTACAGTGATTTGATATCCCCAAATAGATGTTCTAACATAAATATCGTAAATTGATTAATAAATTTGACAAATAAATGATCTTTTGTTTCAAAGTTGATATTGACTCTGTACATGGACTTATATAACCTGGTGAAAAATTATTATACAGAAGTAATAGATATGATGAATGAATTATTTTGTTTCAAATTATGTGTTAATATATTCATACAATAATGTTGTATTTTGAAGTATTGTGCAAAAAATGATGCAAAGTTTGAAAATATTGATAACAAGGCACTTATATTTATCACATAACTACCCTGTTATTAGTGTTATAACGTGTACCCACAACAATAACTTACGTTACACACACGTCAGTAACACCTGGAGGAGGAGCTGTGATTGGCTGTTTTTTTTCTATTGTTTAATTTGTGATATCATAACAAGAACAACTTAATTGTGTCACAGACTTCCAATTGTTGTGTACGTGATGTCACAAAAGAAACAATGCTTGGGGTCAAGATGTTGTTATTGTAGATTTCTAGTTAACTTGAGGAAATGGTGTTTTCACAAATATTTGCAACAGAATCTGGCATTTGTTTCAGTTTCATATGAGATTTATGAAACTTGTCCCAAATTCATCTTTAGCCAACAAGGGGCTTACTCAGAAAAAAATTATCAGATTTGTTTCATTAGATCTTAAGAATCTAACATTCATTTAAGATCCACATGATCATTTGAGTCACCAGATTCTAATGTATACTGAAATGCATGACATGTATTATTTCATTTTCATATAAAAAATATCAGTTTAAACTCATAATCACTATATGATTCTCTTCTACATTGGACTTAAATCAACATAAAATCCTGTTAAATGTAAGTCATATAGATAAGCTGACATAAATCCTGTTAAATATAAGTCATATAGATAAGCTGACATAATGAGTGTTCAGATGCTAATTTTTGTGAGGATTTAATTTTGCCTGTGAAAGATTTTGTATAACACATTTCATGAATATTTATACTGCCTAGCTTGTGAAGATTTTGAAATGTCAGAAAAAGTTTAAGATTCAAATACAAATCGTCTTAAATGATTTCCACATTAATTTTTTTGAAACTAGAGCTATAATACCTGCAAAAATTAGCAACTCAACTGATATTGTCTGTTCAGATTGGATATGTTTATAGCTTAAATGCAATCATTGGAACTGCTCTTTGTTATAGGCAGGAAAGAAGAAAAACAAGATGAAAAGGAAGCTACTGAACACACTTCTTAGTTACACGATCATGAGGATGAAGGAGAAGGTACGAAGGGTTGGCTTTGTCCGTAGATCCATCATTTACCTACCTATGTCAGCTGTTAACCCATTATTGGGTATTTTCAGCCCTCGAACATGAGATGATGAGATGTTAAAACTACTGCAAGTCATCATCTCCATTGTCTGTCTGTCAATCCAACTGTCTTTACATAATGCTTGTTATTGTTGTTTCTCAGGAAGTACAGGACAGATCTTTTCTAAGATTTTTATGAAGGTTTCCCTTGGTCTTTAGGTGTGCATGTTTCATTTTGAGACTGATCGGAAGAACAAGATGGCTGCCTTTTAGATTTTGACAGTTCAACTTTGTTTATGCTATTTTTCAGAAAGTACTGAAGAGATCTTTCCCAAATCTGTATGTAGGCTCCCCTTAAACTACTTCCTTCTAGGGGTTTTGATATTATAACTTTGTGATCACTATCCATATTTTGGGTGTGGTTCCGTATTTGCTGTTTTAAGCACTTTTCCAGTAAGGGTCACCACAATCCATTATACCTGCTTGATTTTCAGGTTCCAATAAAGACGTTTTATTTTCTCTACTTAAAATCATTTCTTCCAAATTCATTAAAATGCTTTTAAGTGCTTAGGGCACTGTTTTAAATTCACACACATGTTTGTATTTGCCAGACCCGAGAGTTACATAAGATTGGCCACCGAGAACAGGAAGTACAGTTTGAGCGATACTTTGTGTATCAGTCCATGGACCTGAACCGCATTGAGCAGAAGGTGGAGAGTCACAGGTACCGTAGTCTGGAGGAGTTCCTGGCCGACACACATCTCATATTCCACAATATCTACCTCATATATGGGGGTAAGTAAGCATGTCCCGATGTGTTTCCTGGTAAAATATTTATCTTGTCGTACTGACTCAGTTAAAGAGAATTGTTTCTTAGGCCCCATTGGTAAAGTGTCAAACTAATAAGAGGTCCTAGCTGGGTTCGACCTCTAGTGAAGGAATTGAAAAATGATGACCTCTAGATCTGTCACAAATGGAAGGTTAACAAAAAGAGAATAGAAATTGCTTGACTTTAATTCAGTCTCAGATCATATTGTATGTATATCATTCTATAGGAGTATTGTTGTCTTGGTTTACAATGAATGTGCAATTCCAAGATGACTAAATATTTTTTGGTTTGAAAGTTCTGTACTACATATATATCCAACAACCTTTCAAGTTTGAAACTAAATTTAGCGAGGCACAAATTCATATTAATTATTTTCAAATGAATGGAAAGTTTTGGCCAGCTTTACTGTCTGAGTTTGTGATCAATTAAATTGTGATCAATTAAGTTGTGATGCATCAACAGACATAATTTTGAATATTTGTCTATGGGTTTTAAATATTTGTTCGGGATTTTACATTTTCAAAACAGCTATGGTCATAGGAACACTGCAGATGCTGAAAATAAAAATGTTAAAGATCACAATCTCGTTTATACAAAATATAAATTTCAAACTGGTAGACACTCTCAAATATAGAATGACTTGACAAGTATACACATCTACACTGAAGGTGTTTGCGACTTTTGTAAATCAGATTTCTTATTTCAGATGAAGTCAAGGGTGGAATGACAGAATTAGCCAGAATAATGGCCAGAGATTGTAAATATGATGTAAGTTATATGTTTATAGACATATGTTACATTTAATTCAGGACTGAAAACTAACACTAGTCTGCTACTGCTAGTCTGAGACTAGTAGATTTACGAATGGATCACTGAATCAATGAGCCTAAGTTGAGCTTTGGACTTGTTAAGATGATGTTAAACAAATATCAATTGACAGTGGAAATAATAATAATCCTTTCTGAAAGCTGTTTTAATACAAAAAAGTCCAGCTCGAGGCTCTTCTGAAGGCTGACCTGTTAAAAATCTTAAAGCAAGGCATGGTTGTTTTTAATACAGCTTGTATATCTTCTGATTCCTCTGAATTAAGAATGAAATTCAAATTTTTTTTAAAAGTTAAATTAAGTTAAGAAGGTCTGAGCATAACTTATAACATTTGAAATGTTATTGTTACAGGCAGTTTCTAATAGTAATTTACAAATTTTGCACAATTATTCAATATAATATAGGAATGGGGAAAAAAATAATTGCAAACACTTAATTTCAAGAAAATGTGGCCTGTTTTAGCAAATTATTTTTAATCATGTGTTTTAGGTTGAAGAAATTAAGCAGTGCCATAATTGTTACTACACGTCTAATGCTAAGCCGAAGGATTGGTTCTGTGAGCCCTGTGTAAGTATTATACTGCACGTCTAATGCAAAGCCCAAGGATTGGTTCTGTGAGCCCTGTGTTTAAGTATTATACTACACGTCTTATGCTAAGCCCAAGGATTGGTTCTGTGAGCTCTGTGTAAGTATTATACTACACGTCTAATGCTAAGCCCAAGGATTGGTTCTGTGAGCCCTGTGTAAGTATGATACCTGCCAACCCCGGCTAGACTGAAACTGAAAAAGAGGGTCATAGCGTATGACGTTTTTTTACGCAATAAATATAAGAAAAGTAGAAATTAGATTAATACTTTGATATTTTAATGATGCAAAAGGGTACATTCTGCATACATTGAACTGTTCTTCCAGCAGATCTGGCTCATCCTCATCCACCAATACCAAATTCAAGGCTGAAAAATCAACAAGATTTGTCAGCAAGACAATTCATAAAATATATTCATAATGATATATATGATCCTGAGTTTTCACAGGCATTTGTTTCTGTCAATAAAAATGGTTCTGACAATAAGAAGTCACACTCTACTTCCAGAAGACATAAGTTACTTTCAAAATACTACGTATACACAATTGTAAAAGCAACTCAATTATTCGATAACACATCTCACCACTTACTTGTCGATAAGTTCGGTATCAACGGTCTATATATAAACATTTGCAAAAACAGTTCTAGTACGTATATAAACAACTCACAACTTACCTATCTGTGAGAAACGGAAACTGGAAATAGGTTGTCTTTCTTTTGATAGAGAAAGGAAAAGTCTAGAGAATTCCGAGTGACTTCGGTAATTTCTAAAATACGAAAAGATTCCTGGCAAAAATGTGTGAAATTGACGAAATCCAGGTCAAAATTGTATCATGGCGTGTGTGAAGTTGTTAAAGCAGGTGAAGGGCTAAAATTCATTGTGTAACCTGACGAAATTGGGTCCTTTGGCAGGTATGGGAGGGAGACACCCTATTTTGGACCTAAATTGAGCATTTTCAACCATTGAGTTTGCTAAACTTTTCCAGTTTTCTAAGATATGATCTGAAAGAACAGCTCAAAAGATGCTATTTAAAAGTGTTATTTTTGCCCTAGGGTGTACATAGACACACTTTATTTATGCTTTTAATTCTCCCCCATGGAAATTTCATAAAGTTGGCAAGTATGAAGTATACCGATGGACATCAGAGATGTACTCACAGCACAGAAGTTATATTTTTGCCATTTCAGAACCGTTTTTCATGGGATTAGTAGTCTCATTCTATTTGACAAAAATAGGTTGACAAAAAACAACTGTTACATAATTGCTAAGTTTACAATATACTGGTATATAATTACTTTTTTTTGTAAACTAAGTCTTAATATGAAATCTGATCATTACATATTATCTTATGAAGTTCAACTTGCTGGATAGCAAGATAGGGAGGGGGCAGCGGTGGCCAAGTGGTTAAGGCGTCTGACATTCTGCTACCACTTGCCCTCCACGACTGGGTCGCGGGTTCGAGGCCTACGTTGGGCAGTTGCCAGGTACTGACCGTAGGTCGATGTTTTTTCTCTGGGAACTCCGGCTTTCCTCCACAACCAAAACCTAGCACGTCCTTAAATGACCATAGCTGTAAATAAGATGTAAAACAAAAACAAACCAAAGTCAAGCAAGATAGGGAAAGTGTCTTACATACGGTACAAGATTTAATTTGTGTCCTGTTTTATGCCTTCAGGATCCACCCCATGAGTTGGTGTACGCCAAGTTAAAGGGATACAGCTACTGGCCCGCCAAGATCATCAGGAAGGAGGGCGAAAAATTGGATGTACGATTCTTTGGAGGCTTTCACCAAAGGTAACAATTGTTTTGAGGCGTTGTTTTTACACCTGTCTGTTTTATGGTAAATAGATAAGAAATTAACTGGAAAAAATAAACACGTTTCATGATATGCATATGAGAAAAAATTGGTACATAATTATTGTATACTGTACTGGATTTATTCTGCAGCTGTTAATTTTTTCACGATTTTTGAAGTGAGTTAATTCGTAAATTTATTACAATTGTTAATATATTTAGACAAGTAGCATGCATTTCTCTTCGAGTAACATTTGCAGCTAAAATAATGTTATATTAAACGAACATTTAACTATGTCTCACAACTAAATACATGTACTACTCACGGGTAGCTTCTGATGACCTCCTGGTTGCCTTCTTCAGCCCTTACTGAGATCAGTTGGGGGCTTCAGACTAATCTGGTGATCAAAATAATGTTGTTTTCAACTAAACCGGGAAAAAAATAGATTTTAAATAAGATTGCATTTATTTTTCAGAGCCCTACTAGCACCAGACCAAATAAAACCGATAACTTCTAATGTTAAAAGCATCGTAACCAAGAGGACCACTGGTAAGTATTGGAGGTGTCGTGCACGGTTTGTACTAAGTTGGAGATGTGGTAGACTTTATAACAGGGCTTTAACCCTTTCAACCCTATATAATTAAGTAGACTATACAATGCTTTGATCTGGATGAGTCCATTTTTGTCAACAGTCGTGAGAGGGTTCAAATGCTGGTAGCATGCTGGAATGAAGGGCTACCAAGTTTGTTCAAATGAATGGCCTTGACCAACTTTCAAGGTCACAGGGGTCAAATGTCTTAAAATCTTCAAACAACTTCTTCTCAATAACCAAAAGGCCCAGAGTACTAATATTTGGCCTGTAGCATACTGGGATGAAGGGCTACCAAGTTCATTTAAATGAATGTCCTTGACCCACTTTCAATGTCACAGGGGTCAAATATGTTAAAATCTTCAAACAACTTCTTCTCAATAACCAAAAGGCTCAGGGTACTGATATTTGGCCTGTAGCATGCTGAGATGAAGGGCTACCAAGTTTGTTCAAATGAATGACCTTGACCAACTTTCAAGGTCACATTCAGATTTGAAGAGTGTTTTCATTCTTTTCTGAAAAGCGTGTGTCAACGAAAATTAATGTTATATAAATTTTAACGTTTTCATCTGCAAAGAAAGTAGCTTAATGCCAGAGAGTATTAAAAACACTGTGAACCACAAGAGCTTTATATGAAACATATGTTATATTTCACAGCTTTAAATGCAGTGTTTAATACCCCCCTCAATCACTCACCCCTACATTTTTAAACTGGACTTGACTATGCTTTGATAAAGTTCAAATGTGAGTTGAGGGGTGAATGGGTTAAATCTACCTTAGCATATATATGAGCTTATAATAGCTGATACAAATGAGTCTTAGAAAAAACACTTTGTTACTTTCTTTTTGTTGTTACAGGTTTTATGAAGGCTAGTGAGGAACTTAAGAAACACCAGGTTCGTCTAGCAGAGCAGGCACAGGAGAACACAGAGGATGACGAGGATGAAGAGGATGAAAAAAGTGACGACCAATCAAACAGTGGAAGGATGGATGACAGGATGGACGTGGAGGGAGAAGAAGAAGAGGAGGATGTGAATGGACATGACAGCAGTAATTTGGAAGTGAGCTCAACAAGTCTCAGTCCGCCCAAGAAACGTCTCTGTCTCAAGGTGAGTTCTTCTGTCCGCCAAAGAAACATCTCTGTCTTAAGTTGAGTTATTCTGTCTGCCAAAGAAACATCGCTGTCTCAAGGTGAGTTATTCTGCCCGCAAAGGAAATGTCTCTGTCTCAAGGTGAGCTCTTCTGTCCACCAAAGAAATGTCTCGGTCTCGAGGTGAGTTATTCTGTCCGCAACAGAAATGTCTCGGTCTCAAGGTGAGTTATTCTGTCTGCCAAAGTAATGTCTCTGTCTCATGGTGAGTTATACTGTCCGCCAAAGAAATGTCTCTTTATCAAGATGTGTTATTCTGGTCGCAAAAGAAACGTCTCTATTTCAAGGTGAGTTCTTCTGTCCATCCAAGAAACCTCTCTGTCTCAAGGTTGGTTCTTCTGTCCACCAAAGAAATGTCTCTTTATCAAGATGTGTTATTCTGGTCGCAAAAGAAACGTCTCTATTTCAAGGTGAGTTCTTCTGTCCATCCAAGAAACCTCTCTGTCTCAAGGTTGGTTCTTCTGTCCACCAAAGAAATGTCTCTTTATCAAGGCGAGTTCTTCTGTCCGCCAAAGAAACATCTCTGTCTTAAGGGGAGTTATACTGTCTGCCAAAGAAACGTCGCTGTCTCAAGGTGAGTTATTCTGTCTGTCAAAATAATGTCTCTGTCTCAAGGTGAGTTCTTCTGTCTGCCAAAGAAACATCTCTTTATCAAGATGAGTTATTCTGTTCGCAGAAGAAATGTCTCTGTCTCAAGGTGAGTTCCTCTGTGAGACTAATTGGAAAGGGGAGAAGAGGTTATCCATTTGTGAGAACTTGATGTTCCAGGAAGTCGTACATGTGTTGTTAGCTCACCTGGCACAAAGTGATGATATTTGGCCAGAAGCATGCTGGGATGAAGGGCTTCCAAGTTTGTTCAAATAAATGGCCTTCATCTATTTTCAAGGTCACAGGGGTCAAATACATTAAAATCTTTAAGCAACTTCTTCTGAATAACCAAGACGCCTAGGGTGTTGATATTTGGCCAGTAACATGCTGTGATGAAGGGCTACCAAGTTTGTTCAAATAAATGACCTTGACCTATATTCAAGGTCACAAGGGTCAAATATGTTTTTAACCTTTAAACAACCTCTTCTGAATAACCAAGAGGCCTAGGGTGATGATAGTTCGCCAGTTACATGCTGAAATAAAGGGCTACCAACTTTGTTCAAATAAATGACCTTGATTTATATTCAAGGTCACTGGGGTCAAATATGTTAAAAACATTTAGACAACTTCTTCTGAGTAACCAAGAGGCCTAGAGTGATAATATTTGGCCAGTAACATGCTTGGATGAAGTGCTACCAAGTTTGTTCAAATAAATGACCTTGATTTATATTCAAGGTCACTGGGGTCAAATATATTAAAAACATTTGGACAACTTCTTCTGAATAACCAAGAGGCCTAGGGTGATGATATTTGGCCAGTAACATGCTTGGATGAAGGGCTACCAAGTTTGTTCAAATAAATGACCTTGACTTACATTCAAGGTCACATGGGTCAACTATGTTTAAAACCTTTAGACAACTTCTTCTGAATAACCAAGAGGCCTAGAGTGATGATATTTGGCCAGTAACATGCTTGGATGAAGGGCTACCAAGTTTGTTCAAATAAATGACCTTGACTTACATTCAAGGTCACAGGGGTCAACTATGTTAAAAACCTTTAAACGACTTCTTAATAAGCAAAAGGCCAAGGGTGATGATATTTCGCCATTAACATGCTGGGATGAAGGGCTACCAAGTTTGTTCAAGTGAATGACCTTCGACCATATTCAAGGTCACAGGGGTCAAATATGTTAAAATCTTTAAACAACAGGATGTTTATACTCTGCAAGTTGCATCCTGAGATGAAAGGCTATACAATGTGTTCAACATAATGACTTTGTTCGACTTTCAATCACAGGGGTGAAATGTTTAAAAAAAAAATTAACAGGGTCTTTTGAATGAATTTTAATCATAAATACTGATATTTTGCCTGAAGCTTTATTTTAGATCACTTTTAAGGTTACAAGTGTGAGTTTTATACCAGGTGAGCGATGCAGGCCCATTGGGCCTCTTGTTATTTACCTCTCAATAAGTAACGGTCAAATGCATGCGTAACGGTAGAATGGCGATGCGTATCAGCTCAAAATTCATGCGCAAGTGGTTTCAGTGCACATACTGAACGGTGCTAGGGGGTGTCACATGATCACAGTCTTATAAAAAAGAATCTTGTCATGGATAGGGAGGTGTCACGTGATCGACGCAGTCTTATAAAAAGGAATCTTATCACGGACAGGGGGGTTTCACGTGCGTCGGATGACACCCCCCTGGATCCGCCTCTGCATTACACGGCAACAGTAATGAGTGAAGTAAAAGAGTATAAGTATGTTTTGTTTATTTATTTTTGCAGGCTTCAACACCCGAGGATGCTAATTATAACATTGTCACATCAAGCGAGGATAAAATAAACATTCCAAAGGTTACCACGGCTACCATCGCTGTCCAAACAACAAAAAGGGTGAGTTATCAGTCATATCATTGAAAGAAGTAAAAATATTTAATTCATGAAATTGATGGAGATATTTTTCACCCCGTTTTAGATTCATAGAACAGGCTTATTTTCTGATGTTCCTGATTTAGTCAAGATAAATATCCAATTTTTATAGTTTTGATAATTTTATTTTGTCAATTTGGACACACAGTCTGTTTTCAAAACTGCCGTTATTTGTCCCTGTTTTGATTAATGTCTGAAATTATGACTTCATTAATGAACTGATTAATTATTTACCTAACAGGTTAAGGGAAAAAACAAATCAATATATTTGGTAAATGAAGGAATGTAATGATAAGTAGACTAAATCAACATGTATCAAGTGAATGATTTTATTTAAAATCTCAATGCTTTTCACAAGAAATTATTCTTTGAATTGAATCTGGCGTCAAAAAACATTGATATCCTGAGCATTTAAGGAAAACTAAAGAAAATGTCTCATCAATATCTTAGACATGTTACCTTATTTTTTCAGAACACAAAATCACAACATTGTCAAACAGATCGTCGACTGGAAAACCTACCGGCCACTAACGAGCCAGACCCATTACCTACCCCCAAAACAGCCAACATTGTTTGTTTACAAGCCCAAGGCTCCTCCAAGTGCTCCTGTGATGAAAAGTACAACAAAGTGTTCAATGACTTCAAGGAGAGGCTGGACAAAGATCACAAAGAGGACAAGGAAAAGTCACTGAAGGAACAGTCAGATAGGGTAAGACTAGTGGTGTAATGATATCGTACTATCGAAGTCAGAACGATCTCATCCCAAGAGTTAATATTCTTAAATGTCTATAGCCGTACCTTATGGCTGGACTTTAAGAGACTTACCCCAAGGGTGGAGAGTTTTCTGTGTTACTCCTAAAGTTGGGAATGAGTAGTTTTCTCCCACATCAAATACAAATTGTAATTGCATATACCAGGGTAATGCAAATATTAATTTCATCATTTCCAGCAAAGTAGAGGTATCTTTCGTGATCTGCTGTTGTTGATGCGGCGCCGATGCATGGTCATGTGACATTGTACAATTGTTTAGACAGGGGAGGAATTCCCCCGGTCTTTAACCTAGGGTAAGACAGAAATATCTTTCACTGACCGGAAGTGTGGATATCTGTCCAATGGGAGGGGAAATGCAATCTCAACCTGAGGAGTAAGATTATTGAATATCACACTTACCCTGGTCGAAGGTTTTACATGAAAAGTATCTTACTCAGAGGGTAGAAACTTCTTTGTCATACCCTCAAGGTAGAGGATGACTGTTTTTCTCCTCAAGGTTGTCATACCCTCAAGGTAGAGAATAGGATTACTGTTTTTCTCCTCAAGGTTGTCATACCCTCAAGGTAGAGGATAGGATGACTGTTTTTCTTCTCTAGGTTGTCATACCCTCAAGGTAGAGGATGACTGTTTTTCTCCTCAAGGTTGTCATACCCTCAAGGTAGAGGATGACTGTTTTTCTCTCATCCCAAAAAAGAAATTTTGTGAGAGAAAAAAATTCTGCTATGGTAAAGATATAAGATTTATAAATATAAAATTTGTTTTCTCTTACTTTTCACAGTTACAAAAAGATTTTAACGAAGACAAACAGCTTGCTGTGTCGCGTGCAGTGACCAACATGCAGCGCGAGGTGGACCGGATGAAGCGACAGACGGAAGAGAGATGTAAACAGGAATACATGGAGGAAATGAAAAAACTCGCCCAGAAACATAAAGAGGCAACATCAATGACCAAGAAGAAGCAATGGGTATGTAGTGAATCACACTGGCTATTGCCACTCAAAACAAGCATCAAGGCACAGTTTCATACGTAAACATAGAACTGTGTATGGTTTGGGCCTAATAAGCAGTAAGAAAAAAGTATCAGGGAATTATTCAAAATCGAGGAAACAGTGATTTGAAAAATCTAGTAAAGGTTTTGGTTTTTGATGGCTTTGAGGGCAAAAAAATGTCAAATCATAAATAAATATTGCCAACCAACAAAATCTAGGGAGATACTGTGATAATTGAAAAGATGTTGCAATATTGCTTTACGTTTGGGCTGTTTATATTGATATTCAAAGCATGTATATTTGCCGTGTTTCATGCATGTATCTGGTGTTAATTTGCAATATTACACGTATTTACTGTATATTTGCTGTGTGACATGAATGTATACAGACAGTATTTACTGTATATATTTGCAGTGTAACATTAAATTTCACTGTATATTTCATGTTTATATTTACTGTATATTTGCAGTGTTACATATGTACATTTACTGTATATTTGCAGTGTAAGTGTATACATTTACTATATATTTGCAGTGTTACTTGTATATATTCACTATATATTTGCAGTGTTACTTGTATATATTCACTGTATATTTGCAGTGTTACATATGTACATTTACTGTATATTTGCAGTGCAAGTGTATATATTTACTACATATTTGCAGTGTTACTTGTATATATTCACTATATATTTGCAGTGTTACATATGTACATTTACTGTATATTTGCAGTGTTATAACTGTGAAGAGGAGGCCATGTACCATTGCTGTTGGAACACATCCTACTGTAGTGTCAAATGTCAACAGGACCACTGGCATAAAGAACACAAGCGTGTCTGTCGACGGAAACGTTGACACGCTTCATCATCTCGGGGCTCAGCCCACATACCTCCACAGTCATTGCATGCTACAGACATCACGCATTCATCACCGCCACCCTCGCTACAGACATCAAATCCATCTCAGGACATTGTCCATGATCATTTGCCTGGATTTTTTATTGGCCATACTGTTCAAACATTGGATAGTCTTCTCTCACAGTGAAAATCTTGCGTTGGAAATTTCGGAGAAAAGTGTGATTTCTTTTATGTTATGACCATTGCAAAACCTTTCATATTGACAAGAAAAAGTAACTCCCAATTTAGATTACTTGTTTGCTAAAAATTGCAGTTAAGTCATGATCAGTCCTAGGCCTCTTCATGAGTTTTCATTGTTTATGAACTTATAGTTTATAGATATTGCTAAGACTGAAATTATCTCAAACTTTAAAAAAATCATTTGTTATAATTACACATCATCATCATAGGTTAGCATAGTACTTGCTATAGAAAGGGACTATCTTTCCAATAAATGTTTCAGGGTTTCCTGGGGGTTTTCGTGGTTAAAATATTTATTTAACCACCAAAAAAAATAAACCAAGGAACACTGCCGGATTGACAGTCAACATCGTCTTACATTTTAGCTTTCATTTATGGGTCTATGACAGTTATATTCTGCCAGTAGATTTTGTTGATCTTTTACACAGATCTGAAATGGTTTGGTATGGGTTTTTGTCAAATTTTCAAATATGTATACTGTAAATTCGGGAAAATTCTACTGTTTTTGCTCAGGATTCAAATTTGCAAAAATTAAAGACGTAAAAAGATTACAGCTGTAAAAAAATAACCCTTAAATTATCTTTTAAGTTGTGTCAGAGTACCAGATTACCTCAATTGTGTTTACAAATGCTGGCAAAGTCTTAGCCTGTGCCGATTATCTAGAAGGTTCTACTGATGTAGTGTAGGGTGGATAGGTTAGTGCTTACACGTGAAAATCAGCAAGTCCTGGTCACTAAAGAAGATTCTATTAGAAGGGGGGATATGAAAAAGCGTGAGTCAGCACTAACATCTACACATACTCTTCAGTGTACCCTTCAGTCTTTTTGAAATGCATACAATAGTAAATACTGGCCAAATGGGTTATTTTGATAACCAGTTTATTTCACAAAATTTTGACTGCATCAATACGCAGTCATATTTTTGCTCATATTCTCAATTTGCGAAAAAATAGACCAAAGAAAATAAATCTACAGACATTTCTGTTAATTTTCGCAAAATTAACCATCAGAAAAATATCCCGATTTATGGTAACTCTTTTGTTCGTCATTTTAATGTGTGTGTTCTAGAAGATATGGTAACATAAAGATTATTTCAAAGGCACTCTGAAAAAAAAAATCCTGGTCATAGGAATGTTTAAAATTATTCTGGTCATAGAGTTATTTCAAGTTATCATGGTCAAGAAGATGTTTAGATTTGTCTTGCAGGGCCAGGTATGAGATACATTTATATAAGAATTGTGTAAATATTTTATAATTATGAATCCCCTACCATTATGATAGAACCTTATGATTCTGGATCCTGATTTAACTCATTCACCCCTGAAATTTCATAATGAACTATTCTAACCTTTAAATTGGAAGAGTTCAAATGTGTCTTCATGGGTGATTGAGTTAACCTAAAAATGTTTTACAGATGTATAGTGCCATTAAATCATGTTTCATTTATCAAAACAAAATTGATTATTTGTTCAGAAACAAGATTGGCCATTTTCAGGGTATTTGTTCCAAATTTATATCTGCCATTTCCTTGGTATTTGTTCAGAATCAAAATGGTTCACATTGATGAGGTTCTAATGTAATTTTATTTCATAGTAAACCATGTAAATTGTTTCATTTCTAGAATATATTTGTTGAAAGAAGTCTACTCTCTGTCTTTAAACTTTATTTGGTTTTAAAAGTTTTGAGATTGTTTATGAAATACCAAATTGATTTTCTCATCTATAATTCCATTTTATTTTTATTGCAAGTCGTTTTCATGATTTTAATTGATTACCAAAGTATTTCTTTCTGTTAGTATTTAAAACTGTCGCATATGATGCATATTTGTACAAGATGTGTTAAATATGATTTTTTTACCAGATGCCATTTGTTCTGTGGTTTTCTTGTTTTCCCTTGTAATAGTCGACATAATTGAGTAAAATGAAGTCAAATTTGTGAAAATTATTTGGATATTTCATTCATGCAATGTAAAAACTGGAAACCACATTTAGTGAAATAGGCAGTAGTAAGGTCGTTGTATATTTTATTAGCTAAATGTAATTTTTCATAAATTTCATTTCTTATTTCTAATATTGACCGTGGATGTAATATTATTGCAAGTGTTTATACATATGTATATAATGGCGTAGCATACACCGACCCTTTGGGAATCACCAGGTGTGTTTGTAAATGGTATAAATACATTTTTCATTTATGAAATTTAATATATTGATGAACCTAGTGAATACTGATGTTGATGACATGGTTGTTTGCTTTAATGCTGCCGGTTTTGATTTTAAAATGAAGACAAACCAAATCTAGTCACCACCATTTTTTTAAACCCTATATAAAGGTTGCTTCTTCATCTAATTACCAGAGAAGTTGTGTCACACGGTAATAGCCAATGTCTTTAACAAGACAGAGATTTCGGTAGCTAACATTTATAAAAGAGCTGCAATGGAAATCATTGTCCTCATGTGTTGTTTCTAACAGAACTCTCAAATTTCGTTTACAGTAGATCATCTAATACCTGAAATGAAAAGGGTATTACTCTCAATCAGACTAAAGTCTATGTTTCTCGTTTACAAAATAACCGGTGACCTCTTGAAAACTTTCAGCAATGATTTTCACATTATGTGTGCATATTTAGAAATATTTTAGATGCTGAAGATATATGTGAATTCCTCCATAAATAACCCTATCTGGTATGAACTTTACATTTTCACTATTCATGTACATGTTTTTCTTAACATCAATGTGTAAGTGGGCAGTGCAACCAAAACTAGGCTACTACACAGATGTAGCCATATTGTTAAATAGAAAAATATCAAAGAAACTCAGAGTTTTGCTCCCCTATAAAAACAGCCTGAATGACTATGTTGTATGAAGGGCTAAAAAAGAATTCCTGCTGTTTTTCATTATTTGCTGCTAACTTTCATATAGGATGAATCTACCTTCAAAACCAAGGGTTCTCAGGTTTTACCTTGCCTCGACATGTACAGTCAATGTATGAATCCATAACCATCTCTTTGTACCTGTTTCCATAGATAGAATAAACGAATAACGGCTTGAAAGCTGGTAAAGGTTCGACTGAATGGGTTTTGAATGAATACATATTATTATCCTATACAAGATCTGAAACTTTTTTTCGCATTATTTTTTTATTTTTGGTATCTGTAGAGTTTTCTGTCTTTGGCAATATTTATAAAACATCAGAACTTATTTTATGCTGGCAAAATAACCCTATGAATTTGGTTTCTTTTAGATAGTGAAAAAGGAAACAAAAAGAAAGCAGGAAAAAGTTCAAGGATACAAAGCCTATACACCTTGTAAATAGTTACATCCCAGATCTACAGAAGTCAATAAGTGTCAAATTTATGAGTCTCAAAGCCTAACATAAACATGACAGGGGAAGTTACTCTAAGCCAGAAAAACTATGTTTGGTTAGTTCTTTTTTATAGAAACTTGGTGGAACTCTTCTTTGTGATTTAAAATGATACATAGGTTCCTCTACTTTAAAAGGAAAACTTCTCATAGTTACTGTGTTTTGCCAAAACAGAAAACGCCTACTGAATGATATTCAAATTACAAAGTATGGGAAGCAGCTATCTTGAATCAGCACTTTTATGAGGAAAGAAAACATTTCATTTTAATTTTTGTTATCCTGTTAAGTATTTAAGATATTTTCTATTGCCCTTGTTACTGCTTTATCGTTGTGTTCTCCATTTTGACTAGCCCGCATCGCATTATGTTACAATTTTAAAAACTGTTCAGTTATGCTTGATGTCAGTTTCTTATTCTAAGTCTGAATTATTTATCAAGATATTTTAAACTAAAAAAGTATGTTTCCTGTTAGAATTTTTTTTTTTCATTTTCCATTAATTGCAAACTGCATAAGGTAAAAGAGTAGATGTGCTTTGTTTGTATGGGGTTTAAACTGTCTTCCCTGTAAGCATACTTACTTGGTTTGTATGGGGTTTAAACTGTCTTCCCTGTAAGCATACTTACTTGGTTTGTATGGGGTTTAAACTGTCTTCCCTGTAAGCATACTTACTTGGTTTGTATGGGGTTTAAACTGTCTTCCCTGTAAGCATACTTACTTGGTTTGTATGGGGTTTAAACTGTCTTCCCTGTAAGCATACTTACTTGGTTTGTATGGGGTTTAAACTGTCTTCCCTGTAAGCATACTTACTTGGTTTGTTTGGGGTTTAAACTGTCTTCCCTGTAAGCATACTTACTTGGTTTACACTGTAATTGGAAGGGAGAAAATCCATGAACTTGTCTTAATTCCTTTTATGTCCCGCTTTCATCTGTACTGTTTCAGACTTAATACAGATGAAAGCAGGACATAAAAGTAAGTAAGACCCGTTCATAGATATTCTCCCTTCATTTTACAGTGAAAACTAGTAAAACTGTATTAACTCTTAAACAGGGGGCGCAGTAGCTGAGTGGTTAAGGTTTGTCTCCGGGTACTCCGGCTTTCCTGCACCACCAAAACCTGGCACATCCTTAAATGACCATAGCTGTTAATAGGACGTAAAACACACAGAACCAAATCTAAAACAGTATGTATGGTGGGAATGTTAAAATAAAAAATGTATCTTTTTTTTTATGATTTTCTCGTATTACTTCAAAAAACATTAGAATTATTGTCAATGTTATTTTTTCAGTATATGAATTTAATTGTTGTATCCATATTAGGGATCTGGTATTCTTCTCTCTTTTTTTCAATAGAATAAAAAATATATGTGGTATTTAAAAACAGTAATGAGCAATTTTTGCGTTTAAATATTGTTAAAATAAGCTTGTACATTTTATTAACTTCGTTTAGATATTGTACAGAAGAATATTTTAAGAAATGATTTTTGCGTAACAGTTTATAATTTTTGTCATTAAACAGTAAAAGAAGCCCTGAGAATGTAGCTAATTAACTTGGGTTTTGGGGGTTTAGATATCTGTGATTTGTTTTATTTGCTATTTTGTAGAAAAATAATGGTTTTGTCTGACAACCTGAAAGCTTAAATAAAATTCATTGGTCATGGAAGAAAGTGCTATATTTCAGATCGATGTGACTATTCTTAAATCAAAAACTTCCACCATTGCAATAACTAGTTTCTGTAAAGCAAATATTATTATGTGGGCTTATCATCGAACATTAGCTTACCCTTGAACATTAGCTTATTACCGATCATGGGTCTATCGCTGATAAAGGGCTTATTCTACCAATCATGGGCTTATAACCAATCATGGGCTTACCCCTGAACATGGGCTTATTACCAATAATGGGCTTATTACCAATAATGGGCTTATAACCAATCATGGGCTTATTACCAATAATGGGCTTACCCCTGAACATGGGCTTATTACCGATCATGGACTTACAATCGATCATGGGCTTACCCCTGAACATGGGCTTATTACCGATCATGGGCTTATTACTGCTGATGGGCTTATTACTGATCATTAAGTTATTACCGATAATGGGCTTATTACTGATCATGGGCTTATTACCGATCATGGGCTTACCACCGAACACATGTACATTTTAGGTTTTTGTCTTATTAGATATATTTTTGAACTCTTATCCAACTACATATCGCTTATCTGCAGGTGTCTCCAAATAGTGAAAATGAGATAATATATCAATGTTATAGCTTTGCAGAAAATTCTTCACCGTTGGAAGTCAAGGATTATTGCTGACAAAAATGGGGGGATATTTCAGGAAAAGATTGTTGTTGTGGAAGATATATATATATGAATTATACATCTGTATTCAATATTTTTAGCTCATCAGGCCCAAAGGGCCCAGTGAGCTTATGGCATGGTGCAGCGTCCGTTCAGCATCAACTTTTTATTTTAAACAACTTCTTCTTAATAACCAAGAGGCCCAGGCTGATGATATTTGGCCAGTAGCTTGCTGGGATGAAGAGCTACCAAATTTGTTCAAATGAATGACTTTGCCCATTTTCAAGGTCACAGGGGTCAACTATGTTAAAATCTTCAAACAACTTCTTGTGAATAACCAGAAAGTCCAGGATGATGATATTCGTCCAATTACATGCTAGGATGAAGCACTACCAAGTTTAATAAAATGAATGACCTTCGCCTATATTCAAGATTACAGGGGGGTCAAATATGTTTAAAGTTTTAAACAATTTCTTCTAAATAAACAAGAGGTCTATGGTGATGATATTTGGCCAGTAGCATGCTGGGTAGAAGGGCTACCAAGTTTGTTCAAACAAATGACCTTTGCCCATTTTCAAGGTCACAGGGGTCAAATATGTTAAAATCTTTCAACAACTTCTTCTGATAAACCAGAAGGCCCAGAATGATGATATTTGGCCAATAACATGTTGGGATAAAGGGCTACAAAGTTTGTTCAAATGAATGACCTTTGCCCATATTCAAGGTCACAGGGGTCAAATATGTTGAAATATTTAAACAATTTCTTCTGAACAACCAAAAGCTCCAGGGTGATGATATTTGGCCAGAAGGATGTTGGCATGAAGGGCTACCAAGTTTGTTCAAATGAATGACCTTCTTCAATATACAAGGTCACAGGGGTCAAATATGTTAAAATCTTTCAACAACTTCTGATAATCTTTCAACAACTTCTGATTAACCAGAAGGCCCAGGATGATGATATTTGTCCAATAACATATTGGGATGAAGGGCTACAAAGTTTGTTCAAATGAATGACCTTTGCCCATATTCAAGGTCACAGGGGTCAAATATGTTGAAATATTTAAACAATTTATTCTGACCAACCAAAAGCTCCAGGGTGATGATATTTGGCCAGAAGCGTGTGGGGATGAAAGGCTACCAAGTTTGTTCAAATTAATGACCTTCGTCGATATTCAAGGTCACAGGGGTCAATTGTCTTGAAAACCTTTAAACGACTAATTCTGTATAACCAAAAGGTCTAGGGTGATGATATTTGGCCAGAAGAATGTTGGCATGAAGGGCTACCAAGTTTGTTCAAATGAATGACCTTCTTCAATATTCAAGGTAATAGGGGTCAATTGTATTAAAATTCTTTAATGACTTCTTCTGTATAACCAAAAGGTCCAGGGTGATGATATTTGGCCAGAAGGATGTTGGCATAAAGGGCTACAAAATTTGTTCAAATGAATGACCTTGGTTGATATTCAAGGTTACAGGGGTCAATTGTCTTGAAAACCTTTAAACAACTTCTTCTGTGTTTTAATCGTTTAACAGGTTCTTCTGAATGACTTGAAGTCAAGACACTGATAATTTGCCTGTAGCTTTATCTTATTCCACTTTTAAGGTTACAATACCAGGTGAGCGATGCAGGCCCATTGGGCCTCTTGTTTCAATCTAAAACAATTACACATCTTTTTTTGAGGGGGGGGGGGGGGGGGGGGGGGACAGAGTCAAACAAAGTTGTTTCTTTTTAATGTGAAAAGTGTTTTAAGCTACTTTTATTAATATAAGTAATTAAAAATGTCAATTCTTTGATTTACTCTTAAAATATACGGTAAGGTGATTACATATCAGACTCCTTTTCTATAGAAATCTAGACCAGGTTTATGAGTAAATTCAGAAAGATCAATTTGCATACAGAAATTGAAGCTTAATCGTGGTTATGGTCCAGTCGTCATTTTATGTTCTTAATTTCTTTTAGCATGTCATCACCAATATAATTTATATATGTATATAAGATTATGAATTTAATTGAAAGATAGTATATCTTTTAATTTACTCACTAAAATAGTGCATTGATATAAAGAAAAAAAAGTAGATTATTTTTAATTTGAATATGCAAATAAAAACCAGTTACACTGACACCTTTATGCTCTATGTATGATATTATTCAGAATTTTATGGATAATGTTGGTGTAAAACTTGGAATTAAAGTGATTTACCAGAATGTGAAAATTGTTAGGTATTTTTCATGATGTTTTCCTGCAATTCATCCATGTTCTCAGCACTTTTGAGTCATAGAAATTTTGTCCCACAACATTTATCCCTTTGGGTATAGCTCCAATGACAGAGAGGAAGGCTGAATAGGAAAAAGTCTTTTAACAGATTTCTATATTCTGGGAATAAAAATGATCTTAATCTACTTTGAAGGTCACAGGGTTAAAACATGTTGGATACTTCAAACAAATTTTTCTGAATAATTAAAAGGTATAGAATCGTAATACTTGGCCGATAGCTTCTTTGGAGGGAGCCAAAGTTTGAGAACGAAAATGACCTTGACCTACTTTCAAGGTCACAGAGGTCAAATATGTCAAACACTTAAATTGACTTTTTCTGA